TCTTAGGAATTCATCCCATATGCAAGATCACCAGGATGTAGCCAGATCCAGGACTCCTGTGTTTATAGTTTAGCTACTGCCTTTTTCTTCGCCTCTAGCAACTGCCTACAACTTCCTTTCAGAAGCTTCAGCAGGGCGGAGCACAGCGGGACTCCTCTAGAAGGCTGGTTATGCGGACAGCTCACCACAGTTAACTGGGGTAACCACAGTTGGCCTGGGCAGTCCTGAAGCAGATGACCCACCCCCATACTGTGGGCAGCTCTTCCTGCAGTGCTTAACCCCAGAAAAAATCCCTCCACCAGTTCCTTACTAAGGTGGTAAACAACCCCAAGAAATCTGGCTCTCTAAGCTTGGGACAGCCAAGAAATGAGTCAGCCTTCTGGAGAAACCCCTGTTTCCAGCCTGTGCTTTCCCATCTCTGCCAGGGCCCTGGCCCCAGCCCCCACGTCAGTTAAGGCCTATGTGTTTCTTTCAAGAGCATAATAAAACCTCATATCTGAAAAGCACTGAAGTGGTGTATCTCTTTCAAAGTACTTATGCATTCATTATCTCATTAGGACACCAGATTTGCTGGTTTTTCTTCAGATTCATTTTTTTTTTTTAACTCAAATCCAACAGAGAAATTTTTTTCATGTGGTTCTCAATGAGACTTGGGAAGAGAAAATCAGAATTCAATCCAAGAGCACAGCTTTTCTAGAGACACAAATATAATCCTCTCTCATGCCAAAAATAACAAGGGGGCAGAGGCTAGATTCTAGAGGAAAGAACATTGAATTTGAATTAAAACCTTTCTAGTTCCAGATCTGCCACTAAGTAGCTGTGTGACTCGGACAAGCCCCTTAATCTCTCTGCACTTCAGTTTCTTCCTTTGTAAAATGGCAGCCTTGAGGCTTCCTGGGAACATTGGCCTTGATATTTTCTAAAGATCTTGGAAGCTCTGAGGTTTTATGGGTCTGTGAATTGTACGATCTGAAGATACTGATTTATAAGCAAGTTGGCACGTTTTTCAAGTCCAGTCATTCCTTTGGTGTGTGGAGGGGAGACCCCCTACACAGGGTGTCAGGAGCCATAGCACATTAGGAAGTAGACTGAGTGTGGCCCACTTCCTGGAGACCCTGAGGCTCTCTGTAGGCCCACCTCTGACGGTGGTGGCTGGCTGGTGGTGGTTAGTTGGTTAAAAGAAGGGTGAGATCCTGACCACTCACAAAATGCTGTTCTCTTGATAGATTAGGAATCTCTGCTATCTGTGGGATAAGGCACAGCCAATGATGTGGTTTGGCTGTGTTCCCAACCAAATTGCATCTTGAATTCCCGCATGTTGTGGGAGGGACCTGGTGGGAGATAATTGAATCATGGGGGCACTTCTTTCCCATGCTGTTCTTGTGATAGTGAGTAAGTCTCGTGAGATCTGTGGTTATAAAAATGGGAGTTTCCCTGTACAAGCTCTTTCTGTGCCTGCTGTCATCCATGTAAGACGTGACTTACTCCTTACCTTCTGCCATGATTGTGAGGCCTCCCAAGCCATGTGGAACTGTAAGTCCATTAAACTTCTTTCTTTGTATATTGCGCAGTCTCAGTTATGTCTTTATCAGTAGTGTGAAATGGACTAATACAGCAGATGTCAAATTGATTCTTGGAATGGAAGGTAAGTGAACCCTGGTGTTTACTGAAGACAGGGACTATGAAGGGATTGGCAGGGTAGGCTGGTAGGCCCTACTTAGCAGTACAGAGACTGGCCCAAGACACTTTTCTTGCTGAGTTTAATCATCTTTTTCCCACCCTTTTTTATGGCAAGTGCTTTCTGCCCAGTGGGGAGGTGAAAGGGTCCCCCACCTCCATCAACCCTTTCTGTATGACTATACCCTTCAATAAATCCTGGCTCTTCTTTCCACTTCCAATGACTACTTTGAGAAACTAGGATGTCAGTGGCTCATCTTGTCTCATGCAAGCCTGAATTATGTATTCTTTGAGAACAGATGACTATGATCCATCAGACTGCCTTCCACCTGTCACTCAGCATGGCTTTAGCTCTGGACACTCCATTAAACTTTTTCCTTTCCTGCAGCACACATTCAATATTAAATTAACTCATTACCACCACCACTAACAAAACCCCCAACCATCCCATTATAGATCATGTCCTCCCAGGAAATTTTTTTTGTTCTTAAATTAATTCATACTAAAGTGCTGATGGTTGCTCAGGCTTGTTACTTATCTACCTACCCTACCACCACTCCAAATACGTATTTCCATTGTAACAAGAGATATTGGATCCAATTTGTCAAAACCCATCTCATTAAAAGAACAAACTTTTTCAGCATCAGACCTGTGATATGAGATATTTTTGTCTTAGTCCCTCAAATTACTGAGAGGAGGCTGGGGACTAGTGAAGTCAGGGCAAGTAGGGGGCAACCTGGCCAATCAGCCCTTCTTCTGAACCAGCAGTGCCATCCTATTTGTACCTGCAGTTTTAGCATTCAGGTACCTTACTACGTAAAGAAATTTATAGATTTAATGTAATTCCTATCAAAACACCAATGACATTCTTCATAGAAATAGAAAAAAAAATCTTAAAATGTTGTTGGGTGCGGTGGCTCATGCCTGTAATCCTAGCACTTTGGGAGGATGAGGCAGGTGGATCATGAGGTAAGGAATTCAAGACCAGCCTGGCCAACATGGTGAAACCCTGCCCCTACTAAAAATACAAAAATTAGCTGGGCATGGTGGTACATGCCTGTAATCCTAGCTACTTGGGAGGTCGAGGCAGAAGAATTGCTTGAACCAGGACCCAGGAGGTTTTGGTGAATGGATATCGCACCTCTACACTCCAGCCTGAGCTACAGAGTGGGACTTCATCTTAAAAAAAAAAAAAAAAGTGTATAGAACCACAAAAGACCCTAAATAGTCAAAGCAATTTTGAGCAAAAATGAAGATGGAAGCATCATACTACCAGACTTAGAAATAGCCTACAAAGCTGTAGTAAGCAAAACAGCATGGCACTGGCACAAAAACAAACACATAGATCACTAGAAACAATAGAGAACTCAGAAATTAATCTATGTATCCACAGCCAACTGATCTTTGACAGAGGTGCCAAGAACCCTCACTGGTACCCTCAAAGATACCAAGAACCCTCACTGATAATCTCTTCAATAAATGGTGCAGGGAAAACTGGATATCCATATGCAAAAGAATGAAATTAGATTCCCAACTCTCATCCTAAACAAAAATCATCTCAAAGTGGATCAAAGACCTAAATGTAAGACCCAACACTATAAAAGTGCTAGAAGAACCGATGGGGAAATGCTTCAGGACATGGGTCTGGGAAAATATTTTATAAGATTTCAAAAGCAAAGGCAACAAAAGTAAACATAAGCAAATGGGATTACATCAAATTAAAAAGCTTCTACACAGAAAAGGAAACAATCAATAGGATGAAAAGACAAGCTACAGAATGAGAAAAAATATTTGGATATTCATCCAACAGGGGATTATTAGCTAGAACATACAAGGAATTCAAACATCTCAACAGCAAAAAAGTAAACAATTCCATTAAAAAATGGGCAAATGGGCCAGGCATGGTGGCTCACACCTGTAATCCCAGCACTTTGGGAGGCCAAGGCAGGTGGATCACTTGAGGTCAAGAGTTTGAGACCAGCCTGGCCAACATAGTAAAACCCTGTCTCTACCAAAAATATTAAAAACTAGGCATGTGCATGTAATCCCAGCCACTCAGGAGGCTGAGTGAGGCAGGAGAGTCGCTTGAACCTGGGAGGCAGAGGTTGCAGTGAGCCAAGATCATTCCGCTGCATTCCAGCCTGGGCAATGGCACAGGACTTTGTCTCAAAGAAAAAAAAAAAGGCCAATGATATGAACAAAAGTTCTCAAAAGAAGACATACCAACATATGGTCCGCAAATATATGAGATAATACTCGACATTACTAAAAGTCAGGGAAACGCAAATCAAAACCATTATCTCACTCTAGTTAGGATGCTATTATCAGAAACACGAAAAAAATAACAAATGTTGGTGAGGATGTGGAGAGATGGAACTCTCATCCACTGTTGGTGGGAATGTAAACTAGTACAGCCACTATGGAGAGGAGTTGGAGATTCCTCAAAAACTACAAATAGAACTACCATATGATACAGCAATCCCACTACTGGGCGTTTATTCAAAGGGAAAGAAATCAGTATACCAAAGAGACATCTGTGCCCCTATTTATCGCATCACTATTCACAATAGCAGAAATATGGACTCGACCTAGGTGTTCAACAACCGATGAATGGATAAAGAGAATGTGGTATATGTACACAATAGAACGCTATTCCGCTATTGAAAAAAGAATGAAACCCAGTTACTTGAAGTAATGTGGATAGAACCGGCGTACATTATGTTAAGTGAATTAAGCCAGGAACAGAAAATTAAACACTTTATGTTCTCATTCCTATGTGGAAGCTAAGAAAAGTTGATTTCATAAAAGTAAAACAGAGGATACTAGAGGCTGGAAGGGTAAAGGGAAGTGGGGGATAGATATTTTTAAATGATACAAAATTACAGCTAGATAGGAGGAATAAATTCTAGTGTTCTATACCAGTGATCCCCAACCTTTTTGGCACCAGGGATCAGTTTCGTGGAAGACAGTTTTTCCACAGACCAGGGAGTGGGGGATGATTTCAGGATGATTCAAATGCCTTATATTTATTGTGCACTTTATTTCTATTATTAATACACTGTAATATCAATATATAATGAAATAATCATACAACTCACCATAACGTAGAATCAGTGGGAACCCTAAGTTTGTTTTCCTGCAACTAGATGGTCCATCTGGGGCTGATGGGAGACAGTCACAGATCATCAGGCATTAGATTCTCATAAGCAGCACTCAACCTTGCTCTCTGCCATGCGCAGTTCACAATAGAGTTCGAGCTCCTGTGAGACCTTGATGCTGCCACTGATCTGCTGGGAGGCAGAGCTCAGGCAGTAATGTGAGCAATGGGGAGCAAATGTAAATACCGACAAAGCTGCAATTACCTCCGGCTGTTTGGCCCAGTTCCTAACAGGCTACAGACAAGTACCCATCCATGGCCCGGAGATTGGGGACCCCTGTTCTATACCACTGTAGGATGATTAGATGTAACAATAATATATAGTTTCAAATGGCTATAAAGGGCCAGGCAAGGTGGCTCATGCCTGTAATCTCAGCACTTTGGGAGGCCAAAGCGGGTGGATCACTTGAGGTCAGGAGTTAGAGACCAGACTGGCCAAAATGGTGAAACTCCATTCTTCTAAAAATACAAAAATGAGCCAGGTGTGGTGGCATGCACCTGTAATCACAGCTACTAGGGAGGCAGAGGCAAGAGGATTGCTTGAACCCAGGAGGCAGAGGTTGCAGTGAGCTGAGATTGTGCCTGGGCAACAGAGGAAGACTCAGTCGCCAAAAAAAAAAAAAAAAAAAAGTAGCTAAAAAGTAGATATCGAATGTTCTCAGCACAAAGAAATGATAAATGAGAGAGCGGGATGTCTGGTTTCTGAGTGGGAACCTTCACAGTGTCAGTACAAAAGAGAGAATTAAATACGGGTGATGTTGAGACAGCTAAGAATATTTGTGTTCACCAGTGTTCCCAGTGCCACACCAGGGAAAAGGGAGGCAAGCACAAGGCTGAGCCTAATCTCCATGGTCTCTTTGGGTGGAAGACAGGCCAGGGCATTGGAGTCTGCTTCACAGACACCAATAAGAACAAAGGCCTCACCTGGGAAGAGGATACACTAACAGAGTATTTGGAGAATCCAAAGAATTGCATTTCTGGAACAAAAATGATCTTCAGCAGCATTAAGAAGAAGGGAGAAAGGGCAGACTCAATAGCTTATCTCAAAAAAGCTGTTCATGAGTAATAATTGGCCACTGCCTTATTCATTACAAAAGAGAAATGTCTCATGAATTTTTTATATGTACCATAATTTAAGATTTCATTCCACAGAATTTAAAAAAGAGAAATGATAAATGTTTGAGATGATGAATATACTAATTACCCTGATCTAATTGCTACATATTATATATCAAAACATCACCATATACCCCCGAATATATACAATTATTATATATCAATTAAAAAAAAAGAACAAAATGTCACATTGCATTTGCCAGCCCCCCAGCTTTCATACTCTTATTTTGTTGTTTTGTTTCTGGTCTCTTCTCTCTTTTTTCTTAAATCCTGATCCGGCCTCAGAGGCTCCTAGCTCTGTACAGGCTTGAAACTGGCATATGGAATCTTGACACCCTCTGAAAACTCCTGGATTTACCTACCCTGTGCCCCTCTATACACCATCCTTATTCCCCTTACAGAGGCTCCTGCTCCTCACCCTCAAGCCCCAGGACATCATGGTCTGAGCTTAAAACAGGACCAGAGAAAGGGACCAGAATCCATTAAGTAAAAGCAAATTCAGGTTAATAGCAGGAAACTAGCAGAATCTCAGGAGTTTCTAGATGTATATTACAAAGGGGCAACTTTCTATTCCAGGAGTTTGCTAGCTCTGAATTTGGTCTCAGGCCAGTACTATTTGCCACCCATCTTGTTCCATCCTATTCTCTTTTTTAAAAAATTATGTTTATTATTTAAGTTCTGGGACACGTGCAGAATGTGCAGGTTTGTTACATAGGTATATATGTGCCATGGTGGTTACTGCACCCATCGACTCATCACCTAGGTTTCAAGCCCTGCATGCATTAGGTATTTGTTCTAATGCTATCCCTCCACTGACAGGCCCAGGTGTGTGATGTTCCCCTCTCTGCGTCTGTGTGTTCTCATTGCCATCCTATTCTCTTACACAAGGTTGAGAATGTCTCTCGGAAAAGGAATCCCTAATTCCCCCAACTTGGGAGTCAGCTTGATTTTTTGAATGGAAGGGTTAGAAGGGTCAGACGCAGCCCTAGGACATCCTTAAATGTTGAGATGCTCTGGGTTTTGATGGCCTGTACCAGCATTAACACACAACCATAGGCAAACTATGAAGCAAATTTGCACTGATGTATAAAATATGGTGGCCAAGCTGAAGTAATAACATCAATAAACAAATAATATAAGGAAATATCTTAAGCTTAGAATTCTAAAAGCAATGGAGAGTCCCATAGAAAAGCCAATACCACTCCTAACTACCTTATTCCTACTCCTACAGCCTGGGGCTGAGTCTTGGAGCTGGAGAGAAAGGACAGAGCTGGCTTTCTTCCAGTCCCTGATTCATTCTGCCTGGCTGTGCCTGATCCACACTTAAAATTATTTGTTAGAAATATGGTCACTTTAGTCATCTTCTTTCTAGTCATCAACTCAACTTTTCTGCTCCCTGACATGTATTTGGTGACACAGTAAAAGCCATGGCAAGTGCTCAGGAGAGAGAATCACCAGAAACCTTTGTTAGGGCAGAGTTTAGAGATTAAGGGAAAGCCTCAGAGAGATTGGGAGTCTTATAGGGATTATATAAGAGGTTACTAAGGGAAGGAGAAAGAGGCATATCAGGGCTGAGGTTGAAGGGAATCTGCTAACAGCAATCCAAGGTCATCCCTGCAGCTAGGTCTGTGGCTGAGTAGTTCCCTGTAGAATAGATCCCGGTGGACTATGTTCAGCAACACTGGAGCTGTCAAGCAGGCTTTGTTCCTAACTTCACTTCTTTTATCAAGGAGCTTTATCATCATGTCTAGGCTTCTAAAACCTCACTGCTATTTCTGAGCTTATTACCCCAGACCAGACTTGGGCCAACATGGATGACAGAAAAGGTTCTTTGCTCAGTTTTCTGATTCCTGTACTAGCCAGTAGCAACTGTGACTGCCAGCACCAAAAGGAGAGAGGGTGTCTGGGTCAGCCCTGCTTTATGCAAAACTTATGGAAATCCAGAGGTTTTTCCCAAAATGATACATTTGGGAGGAGAGTATGTATTTGTTTGCTTATTTCATTTATATTTTGTTTTCCAACAACATCTCTGAAGGGTTTCTTTAGCTTTTATATGGTTCTATTTTTAAAAATTATCTTTGGTATAAAATTATATAATCACTTTACCAAAATATTTGGGGAAAAATTGAAAACAGAAAACAATCACACATGACCTCATTGTCTTAATACATCTGTCACTTGCTAGCATTTGGAATATTTCTTTCCTATCTTTTCTCCAATATGCAATTTTTTCTTATAAACATTCACTTTGTTTTAAATAATCTTTAAAGATTCACTTTGTTTTAAATAATTTTTAAGTAATTCATGCATATGATAAAAAGTATAAAAAGTGACAGTCCCTCTCCTCCACCCTTATCCCTAGATCCCCAGTGACCACTTTAAGTCCTATACATCTTTCCAGAAAGTAGCTTTGCTTTTATTTTATTCTTCTTCTCCTCCTCCTTCTCCTCCTCCTCCCCTTCATATTCTTCTTCCTCCTCCTTCTTCTTCTTTTTCTTCTTCTTCTTTCTTCTTCTCCTCCTACTTCTTCTCCTTCTTCATGAAGCCTCACTCTGTCACCCAGCCTGGTGTGGTATGATCTCAGCTTACTGCAGCCTCCACCTCCTGGATTCAAACTATTCTCCTGCCTCAGCCTCCCAAGTAGCTGGGATTACAGGCATCTGCCCCCATGCCAAGCTCATTTTTGTACTTTTAGTAGAGACAGGGTTTCACCATGTTGGCTAGGCTGGTCCTGAACTCCTAACCTCAGATGACGCCCACCTTAGCCTCCCAAAGTGCTGGGATTAGAGGTGTGAGCCACTGTACCCAGCCAAATAACTTTGCATATAAGATGTCTTGCTGGGGATGGGCGTTGGCATGTACTGTGAGGCGCAGGGGACAGGCAGCAGATCTGCTTCTGCTAGGAACGTGGACACATGAACCACATGAGCAACCCTTCCATGGTGTCAGAATTGCGAGATGTAAACTTGGAGCTGTGAGGGATTGAGTTTCTGGCCATGTAACTAGAATAAGTGAGGGGAGAGCTGGAGCCAGCACCCTGGTGCTATTAGAGATTATGAATCTAGCTCTTTTCTGTAGTCTATGTCCTTGGCCTTCCATGGATTAGTGTTGTTCAAACTTCCTCAGAATTTGTGAAAAATAATTTTTTTTTTCTGTTAAAATTTGTTTGGCCAGGCGCAGGGGCTCACATCTGTAATCCTAGTACTTTGAAAGGCTAAGATGGGAATGTTCTAGAATTATGGTAATTGTTGTGAAATTCCATGAATTTATTAAAGCCATTGACTTGTACACTTTAACTGGGTTAATTGTATGGTATATGAAATATATCTCAATAAAGCTGTTACAAAAAAAGAAAAGTATATTGAGTGGATGTATCACTGGGATTAGTCACATAGATGTCTGCTACAGGCTATTCCTCTGTTGTCCATACTGCTTTGTGTTTCATAGCATTTAACATATTTACTGAGTATCTGGGGTACTGGATATATAAAAAAGCATAAGAGCATCTCATGGCCCAGCCAGGGAGGCGACATTCTTGCACAGAAGGTAGCTAACTGGGCAAAGTAGCACAAAACAAATGCTACTGGGTTCAGAGGCAGGCTTGCCATCATGGGCTGTGCACTCAAAATAAGTCTTCACTGATGAGTGAAGAATATTAAAGAATAAATGATCAGGGCATGGTGGCTCACACCTGCAATCTCAGCACTTCAGGAGGCTGAGGTGAGAGATTCATTTGAACCCAGGAGTTCAAGACCAGCCTAGGTAACTTGGTGAGACCCTGTCTCTACAAAAACAATTAAAAAAAAAAAATAGCCAGGCATGGTGGTACACACCTGTGGCCCCAGCTCTTCAAGAGGCTGAGATGAGAGGATCCTTTGAGCCTGGGAAACAGAAGCTGCAGTGAGCTGTGATGGTGCTTCTGCAGTCCAGCTTGGGTGACAGAGGGAGACGCTGTCTCAAGGACAATTTAAAAAAATTGCAAAACAGAATACAATCATATAAAATCTGGAAATTGTCCTAAGGGCATAGAAATATTATTCAAGAGAATCTAAATCTTGGTAAGAACAATCAGTCAGTTTATGGCATTTAAGGCATGACCCATTCTTTTACTCCTCATCCCCGTTCCCTGTTATGGAAGCTGTACCTGAGAGCTCTATTCTTGGCAAGACTTTTCCCAGCTCCCAGTCTGTGACTACAAGTTTTACCCAGGTAGGGGGAGGCCGCCAGGGTTTCTCGTCCCCTCCCCGTCCTCTGCTGTATTCCAGGCAGGATCTGGTCCCTCCCCTCACCCAACCCCAACTGTAGGGGAGAAACTGTTCCAGGCATGGCAGGCTGAGAATACTGGGATCCGATCACTTCCCCTTTCTCCTCCCAGCCAGTTTGAAGAATGGAGGAGGTTCTATACCAGGAGGGTCAAGCAAAGAGAATCAGCGGGTTCCCCTGCCTCCTCCACCGCCCACCCACAGAGCCAGGTGTCACTACAGGCAACACAGGGCCCCACCCCAGCCCTGATGCAGTGTCACCGGGGTTCTTCCAGGAAGAAAAGCAGCCAATAGGACAGAGAGCTTAAGAGCTCTACTTGAGGACACAGGCTTTATTGGAACAGAGCCTGGAGAACGCTGCCTAAGGGTATTGTGGAAAACAACAGAGACCTTGAAAGGGAGCAGTTAAGAGGAGGCTGGCAGCTCCATGACACAGCAAAACGGCAGAGCAGACAGAAATTTCATACAGAGAACCAAGGAAAGAGAAATCAAAGCACCCTGGATGCACATTCAGCTCTTGGGGTCGGGAAAGGGTGTGCACGTTTCTGGCTGCATGGGGCAGACTTGAGAACATTCTCTAAGCCACACGCAGGCCCTTTAATGCAGAGCAGAAGGCTCGTTGGCACAAAGGCCTTAAACAATGACTGAACAATAAACTACTCTTACCAGGGCAACTCCTAGGAATTCA